ATGGGGTTGTTGTGGCCGAAGTGCAGGACCCGGCACTTGGCCTTGTTGAACCTCATACAATTGGCCTCGGCCCATCGATCCAGCCTGTCCAGGTCCCTCTGCAGAGCCTTCCTACCCTCGAGCGGATCAACACTCCCGCCCAACTTGGTGTCGTCTGCAAACTTACTGAGGGAGCACTCAATCCCCTCATCCAGATCATCGATAAAGATATTGAACAAGACCGGCCCCAAAACTGAGCCCTGGGAAACACTGCTCGTGACCGGCCGCCAACTGGATTTAACTTTATTTATGTTATAGTAAAGACCAATGTGCTACAGTTGTCATAGAGTCCCATTATAACAGACATCGTAAAAAACCGTCAGAAAATACCATTATTATCAAGAACTTGGAATGAGCTTCCATAGCTGGGTATAGTAAATGGAAGGTGCAGAGGGAAGAAAAAAATGTGAAACCAACACTATTGGGAAACAAGTAATGAGAATGATAATCTATCTACAAGTAGATGTGGTTAAGTAGCTCATTGAAAAGTACTAGATAAACAAGGGGCAGTGTTCTCTGTAGACTCATTAACAATTTTTTGAATTTTTAATCATATCCTTGGCTGATCATAGATGTGCTTTTTTCTTACCTACAGCTTTGCAGTTAAAACTGCATCAGTTTTAACTACGTCACCATGAAAAGAAAAGTTAAGGAGGGCAGAGGGATTCTTCATCTTCCTAACATTTAGTTTGTACCACTTATTACCCCATCACAATGGTAGAAAAGCAGATAGCTTTTTTTTTTTGTCTCCAGCATTTTCACACCACTCTGAAATTTTATTGAAACATCTGGCGAAGTACAATGAATTTTGCACAGTTGTCTACTCTTGTTTTGGAATCACTACTATATTTGTAGTGATTTTTAACCGTCTCTGGTCATTGTAATTGCTACTAGATGGTATGTATCCAGCAGCTTAGTTAATACTTACTTTCTAAATTGCTTCCTTCACAATGACTGTAAGAGCACTTCTGTAATGAAAATCACACTTGCCTTTCTTGATGGTTGTTTTGTTGGATTTTTGGTTTTGAGGTGGTTGGGTTTTTTTTTTTTTTAGGTTGACAGCAATAGCTGTGGCTTTGTGGTATTATCTTCTCTCAGGTGATCATTGATCTCGACCACTAATATTTCAGTTAGTGTTGCTTGAGGGGTTTATCACAATTGTGATCCCAGAAAGAAGTGTCACTACTTAGTAGAAAAGGCCAAATTTTATCGGGGAGAACCTAAAAGAGTGGATAGCTTTTTCCTGACAAAAAGATGAGTTTCTCAAATATCCTGTAAATTTTACTATCTAATTTGTAGAGGAAAGACTAAAACAGTAAGTGGCATTTTTAAAAGGAGATTTTGATCCTCTAAACTCTCCAATAGATTAAAAAGTCAATACTGTCGGTTATCTTTGTAGGATGATATATCTTCACTTGGAAATATTTTAGTTTAATCTGACACTTGCTATGGAAAGATGTGTTAATTCAAAGGAGTAATTATTCTTCAACCTATTAATTAGTTTCAAGATGCAGTTTGATTAAACTTGTGGAAAAAATTGTGTAACAATTAATCCTGGGTGGTGAAAATTTGTGCTAGTTATATGAATCTGTGGTATCTGGTAGAGTGGTATTTCCAGGGACATTCGGAAGGGTCCCGCCTTCCAAACACCGTAACTGTATGTGTTTGAATCATGTTTATACTGTCTGCAGGGCTTCTGCTAGTTACCTGCAGGGATTATTTGCCTCTTTGATGAACACTTGGGCTTCCAAGTGATTTGGCTTTCCTCTGAAGCACTGGAATCAGGCTGTGTGGCAAAGACTTAAGATGTGTAGTGGTATCTCAGTTTCTCATACGCCCTCTTGCTCAGGGCGTAGGATCAGAAGAGAACTTTCTCTCATTAGATTGACAGGAACTGGTTTTTGATTGCTTTGTTTGCCTTCTACTGCTATATGGGACATAACTCAATTCTTGGAAATTTCTTGTTGCATGAAACTTCAGTGTTAGTGATGCCATTAATTTCTTTCGTCTGTTTCTTCCGTACAACTAAAGGATGTGGAAGAGCATGTTGTGGATGCTCTTAGAATAGATGCTTATTACATGGTTGTCTGTGATTTCAGGAAACAGAACTTGACCCTCATGATCCCTTGGCATTCTCTGTCCTTAAATGCTCTCCAAACTATTCTGTGTATTAAGATTGAGTATTCTGGAGTTTAGAAGTATTCTGGCCTTTAAAAATAAACAATAAACATTAAAAATAAACATTCCATGCTGAAATATTGTCATATGTTACTTTTTGTGCTTGAAGAATGATAATTTTTCTGTAAATCCTGTTTCATTTTGACATGCATTTTGCTCTTTGGCTTATCTAAATGATTCTTGAATTGGGATGATACAATTTTGATATCCTTGTGTCTTGAAAGGTGATTTCTTTTCCTCTTTCTCTTGAGGTTTATCCATCAATACATTTAATCTACTAGATGCCATCTTTCTTGGATTATACTATTTGAAAACTTCATTTCCACGATGCCTGTGTGCTGTACTAATTTAATAATACTGTTTAAATTTTTCATCCCAAACTATGGCATGGGGCATGCAGGTATTTGGGTGGGAGGGTGTGGTGGAAGGGAAAGTGTGAACACAAAGGACAGTGTTTTGCGTGTAGTTTAAGAACATGGTAATGGTGGTTGTTGGGAAGGAGGCAGGCCCGCTCAGGCAGATGATTTGGAAAATGCTGCATTATATATTGCTGTTTCTCATTTGGTTCTAGGTAGGGAATAATAGTCCCACGACAGGAGTATCTGGCCTTCATGGTATCTTTGAAGGGCTGAAAAATATCTGCTGATGCCATAGGCAATGCAGCTGAACAGTGAGGGTCATGTGTAACTCCTAATAGTCAAATGCATAGTTTATCTTAATTTTGATACTTTGTGAATTTATAAAGTCCTTGACTCTGCTGTGCTATCTAAGTATGTTTTCTGGAACATAAAGAGATTACAGTAGTCTGTAGTTGTTGCATAATCATAAGATCTCAGCTGTACACTGCAGAGGCACAATCAAAGACTGCCGTGAATAAAGTGGGACAACTATGAAGTCGTGTCAGTACAGTCAACCTTGCGTTCTTGTAATAAAAATGAAAAACTTTTTATAGGACTCACTCTGGTATTAAGCAATTAGGTGACATTTATTCTTAGGATCATATTATGTCACTTGCAGTCCTTCATGACAAATTGAAATTGTCAGATGGTTGATTCCTGAAAAGCCCTCAATTCAAGACAATTGCTGAAATAAATTACTTGGTTTGTCTGAAAGATGGGATGTTGACACTCAGGCAGCTTTTATAAAATAAGCTGTTTCACATCATGCTTCTATAATATGTTTTGACAACTTGAAGTTGGAGGTCAAGGCTTCTGAAAGGTGTATGAAGTAGCACTTCATCCTCCAGAGAGAGCAAGAATTATATGAGAGAGAGAGATGATCCACCGAAGGAGGAATTTCTCATCTGCAGGGTCTCTGTAATATATCAGTGTACAATCTTATGAGCGTGTGTTGAAATTGAGAGAGATCATAATCCTCTTTCAAGAGTGCTAAATTGAGAGATCTAGGACTCAAGTATTCCCATCTAACAGAGCTTGTGTGACATAGCTTTTGGCCGTAATATATTCCTTTAAAGTGAAAGCCTTTATTTTCTCTTCTTTAAATAAACTGTAAATATTTGTCTTTCTATTCCTGATCAAAGTTAATATTCATTTATTAAAATGAGAATTAAGTGGTTAGTAAGTGCTTGTTTTAACATTTCCTGAAATCTATCCTTGTTGTCTTGCCCTGAATTTCAAGTAATTCCAAGCCAAGTTAGTATTCAATGAGAATCAATTCTCAAGTAATAGGCTTAAATTTGATACGCTCACTTTTTTGTATTGGCAGAGAACGATGTCTGAGTGGTAGCACCACACAGATAGTGGTTGGATAATAGTATAATACATAATTTAGTGAGAGAAAAAGTAGAGTCATTTCAGAAGAAACGAAAATGAGAGGTCTTATGGCTAAGGTCATCCTTCACTCACCTTTTTGTCTGTTTCTCTTCTTGTTTTCTCTATCCTCATTGTCCTCTATTCAGGAATCTCAGCAGATGCTTGGAAGGTTGATTCCAGAAAAGCAATTGCTTAATGACCAGCTAAAGCAAGTTCAGCAGAACAGTTTGCACAGTAAGTATATTTTTGTACATGTCTAAGTTTGTATAGGACATGATGCTGCATTGCACAGGTGTACTCTGTAACTTCTTTTTTTGTGTTGCAAGATGCATGTTGAAAAATGTTGCTTTCTATGACCTAAAATTCTCTGTGTAAGAAAATACTTATTTGACAATATGTTTAAAAACAGGAGATTCTCTTCTTACTATCAAAAGAGCCTTAGAAGCCAAGGAACTAGCACGTCAACAGCTTCGAGACCAGCTAGATGAAGTAGAAAAAGAAACCAGATCTAAACTTCAGGAAATTGATATTTTCAATAATCAACTGAAGGTAATCCTAGACTTTTTAACCCTTTCTTCTAAATGTTCAGTTAATTATTTTCTATCTTGATTATGGAATAAAATATTGAACTAGAATGATTGATTTAGAATGTCAGTTTTGGGAACGTTCTCAAAACTTTTTTTTTTTAAAAAAGAAAATACTGGTTAGCATCCAAACTCAAGAGTTTGAATCAACTTAATCTGCAGAATCTATTTCAGAGTAAATTTGAGCTCTGATTCCAGAACCGTGACTGCAAATATGAAATTGCCAGTTTCTGCCCTTTTGCATCAAAGAAGTGCAAGACTGTAGTAGGTCAGCAAATCTGCTGGAATCAGTACTTCAAATTGAAATCTTTAACAAAGAGACTTGATTTTCTACTGACACGCAGAATTTTTATCTGCTGTTCGTAAGCTCATACTTGTTCCTGAATGTAATTGTCTGTTGCTTGTGGTTTCATGCTTTATTGATCAGTCTTTTGTTAAAACTGTGTGATTTTTGTTTATTTTTGCACAAAAAAATTACAGAAATTGCCGAAGTCAGTAGAGGAAGTGTTCTTCAGAGAGAAGTTGTAAATCAGTCTTTATTTACAAACTTTTAATAGCATTCATTTTTTCATAAAATATTCTAATGATAAAGTACTTTATGTGCTAATTCAACTGATGGTTTCTCCTGAAAGCTGACTAGAAAAATACTCAATTTCCTGCAAGGTATAATAAATTGTGCTACAAGTATTTAGAAGGAAAAGCACTATGATAGATACATTAATGTTTCTGTAGTTGTTTTGAAATTAGATCAATTCTGATTACATCATATGCTTTAGGATGGAAGGCGTGTTTGAAGTTAAGCAACAAATAGCTTGTTTTAATATTAAAGTTAATAATAATAATAGGAAAAATTAAAAGCTGTAGACCATACCACTACCTGTTTCAATGCCAATTCAAAGATGACTCTCATGATCTTAGGCAGGGAGGTAGAAAGGGGAGAATCTCTGCAGAATCATGAGAGACAGAAGACAAACAAAATATTCGCAATTTATTTTAAAAGAAAACAGAATGGTTTACCTCGCTTTTTTTTTTAATATATATATATGCTTTTTGGACACACCTTAAAATGTGCTTTTTGGGTGATTTTTTTTTTTTTTTTTTTTTTAAATGGGGTCCTTTTTAAGTGTTTTGCAGATAAATATGACCAAAGGATATTAATTCTAAAATTAGTGTCAGCATTCAGTTTGATCATAAATGACCTAAACAGCTTATAAATGGGCAGGGGAGTGAATAATCTTAGTACGGTGACAGTAGCAAAAAAAAAACCAAACCCCAAAACAAACAAACAAAATTCAATATTTTAAATACTGAAGGGCTTGACTTAACAAATAACAAGCTAATGATAATTAAAAATTGAAAATGCGCATTAAACAAAGACATCGATTTATCAGAATGTCTGCCATCTATCAAAGAATGCCTTGTCTAATTGTAAACTATTTTGCAGTTTAATGGGAAAATTGATTTCTGTGTTCAAATCTTAGTATTTAGAGTTATCACTTTAAATGCTGAAAATTAGTTATGTAGACGGTTCCTTGGGAAGACTTGAGCAAGCTTCTTCTGGCTTGAGAGGATATTGTATTCTTCATTTCATAATGCGTAGAAGCAGTGCTTAATAGGAAGACCACTTTTTGATGCTGTATGTTAGTATTTTTGCCTTGCTGCAGCTTGCTTTGCTTGCTTGCAAGAGATGAGTTTAAGAGGGGAAAACAAGGCAGTGGGGCAGTCGTACTATTGAAAGTGAGAGGTGGGAGCTTAATTCAGAGAGAGTTGTATCTTCTCCCTTTTGTGGAATCATAGAATCATTGAGGTTGGAAAAGACCTCTAAGATCATCGAGTCCAACCATCGACCCAACCCCACCATGCCCACTAAACCATGTCCCTAAGTGCCTCATCTACGCGTCTTTTAAATACCTCCAGGGATGGGGACTCAACCACTTCCCTGGGCAGCCTCTTCCAATGTTTAACCACTCTTTCAGTAAAGAAATTTTTCCTCACGTCCAATCTAAACCTCCCCTGGTGCAACTTGAGGCCATTTCCTCTCATCCTATCGCTTGTTACTTGGGAGAAGAGACCAACACCCACCTCGCTACAATCTCCTTTCAGGTAGTTGTAGAGAGCGATGAGGTCTCCCCTCAGCCTCCTTTTCTCCAGGCTAAACAGTCCCAGTTCCCTCAGCCGCTCCTCATAAGACTTGTTCTCCAGACCCCTCACCAGCCTCGTTGCCCTTCTTGTAGGTTAAAACTGATAGACTTCTTTTATGATAACCTGCTCTTACTTTGTGCTTCAGTATACTAACTGGGAGATGCGCATTTGATGGGGTGGCTGTTAGGACGGCAGCACTATAATTGACACTGTCTTGTGCAGCTTTTGTTCTCTGACAAGTGATAGAGGGGCACTGGTGCTTGCCTTGTCTTCTGTAATACAGCTAGCTTCTGGATGAGAAGCAGAATGATGTGGTACTGTTTGCAAACTCCCAGGAAAAAAATGCATATCTAAATACTCTTTATGTATATACCATCTTAAAGCGTTTTGCACTTATTTCCTACAGGGAGAGGGAGTAATACATGTCTTTACTTAGTCAAAATGCTTAATTTAATAGAAAACAGAACCAAAATTGTAAATATGTAAGCTACTGCTCTCTGAGTACAAGGTATATGCCAAACTAGTTTTGATGAAATGCTTAAGAGAGTGAAATTGACAGCAACATTAAATTATAATCTTTTGTCATCATTGTGGAGATTTATTCCTTATTGGCTATGAATATTGGTTGCGTTATCTCCCATGTGAATATATCCTTAAGTCTTGCAAAACTCCATTTCTGACTCATTCTCTTGAAATAGGCTACACTTGATCTACTGGTAGCGAATACAGAAATATGCCACCATAGTACAAGATAAAATGAACGATTTAACTAGTATCTAGTGTGCCTTTTCATTGATGAGACCATAAGGTTTACCTAATGTTCCAATATATTTTAGGTTACAGGTCAACTTGTTAACACCATAGTAGTAGACAGCGGATTGCACGGCATTTGCCTCCATATTATAGTTTTTATGTTCCACAGTAAGTGAATACTTGAAACAAGTGTTAAATTACCTCAGCTTTGCTTCATGTCTTAATAGCATATATGAGTGACTAGGGAGATAAATGAAACACTTTTTTTCCACTGGATCTTTTGTCATCCCTCCAAAACAACTGATTTAAATTTCTTCTGATTAGTCCTTTGGAGCTCAAGTACTTCAGTTACTTTTGTTTCAAGTTAACATCTCAAGAGTTGGAAATGTTCGTAGAATTTGGTTCCTTTTCAAAGAGTTTCTGGAGTATAAAATGTTATTAATATTTCAAAGCAAGTAGTTTCAAGTATCTTTACTGAATATCTTTCAACCATGTAGAACCACATGGTTTCAGGAAACTGTTAGTACTTGTTTGGCAGAGAAATAGGTACCTTAGCCTGCAGCTGATCAGATGTCCTTTTAAATCAGATTTGAGGCATTTTATTAGAGAAGATAGTAGTCTTGTGGATTGTACTGTATTTGGCTATAGAGTGAGTGACTGAGTTTGTAACAAGGTTGTAAGTTGGTCCACTTTTTTGTGTCCTGAATTATGTTTAAGGGAGTCTGACTTCCATTATTCTTTAAAAATCTTAGCCTAGAAATCTAATAATTAAAATTGATACAGTTATTAGTAAAATGTAACTAGGCACTTGTTTATTTTCCTCTACTTCATAAAATAATTCTGTGGAACAGAAGGCTTTATATTAGGTTTCCTGTTTGTATATGTATAGTCCTCCTATAATTTACCTTTACAAATTCTTTCTCCATTCAGTGTGAATCTACATTTAAATTTTACAAAGGTCAGTCATACACACTGTCAAATAAAGCAATTAAAATAATTCTTAATATGGTTCTTGTCTCCGAAGACCAAATAATCGTTTTGTATAGCATAGAAGAATCAAGTATTTAGAGCTTATCTGTGTTACTGCACAGGAGAAGACAACTAAATTAGTGTTTCTGAAATAACGTTAGTCTTGCTGAGAAGCTATTCTCAGTGCCTGGAAAAAGTGGTGAACAAGTAGAATCAAGTTCTTAAAAATGTTTTACATTTTGTGTCATGTTCCAGTTGTTGTCAGTCCCTGTCTAGTCAGTGTGCACTGGACAAGTCTTGCATATGAATGCCTGTTTACATTTGAGCATTTCTTTCTTCCAGTCAGTGGCAATGGAAGATGCAATGCTGCAGTGCCTGGCAGTTCTCCTGGGCTGCGTCAACTACTTAGACTCCTTTCTAAAGGTCTCCATGCCATACTCAGGCAGTACACAACTATCTCAATCTGAGTGATGAACCTCCTCCAGTTATGTGCTTCACTTAGTAGTAGACAGCGGATTGCACGGCATTTGCCTCCATATTATAGTTTTTATGTTCCACAGTAAGTGAATACTTGAAACAAGTGTTAAATTACCTCAGCTTTGCTTCATGTCTTAATAGCATATATGAGTGACTAGGGAGATAAATGAAACACTTTTTTTCCACTGGATCTTTTGTCATCCCTCCAAAACAACTGATTTAAATTTCTTCTGATTAGTCCTTTGGAGCTCAAGTACTTCAGTTACTTTTGTTTCAAGTTAACATCTCAAGAGTTGGAAATGTTCGTAGAATTTGGTTCCTTTTCAAAGAGTTTCTGGAGTATAAAATGTTATTAATATTTCAAAGCAAGTAGTTTCAAGTATCTTTACTGAATATCTTTCAACCATGTAGAACCACATGGTTTCAGGAAACTGTTAGTACTTGTTTGGCAGAGAAATAGGTACCTTAGCCTGCAGCTGATCAGATGTCCTTTTAAATCAGATTTGAGGCATTTTATTAGAGAAGATAGTAGTCTTGTGGATTGTACTGTATTTGGCTATAGAGTGAGTGTCTGAGTTTGTAACAAGGTTGTAAGTTGGTCCACTTTTTTGTGTCCTGAATTAT